AGTATGTTTGTGTGCTTGGCTACTTTTAGTTTTGTTCTAGTGAGGTTATTTGTTTCCTGCATTTTCCTGAAAGTGTTAGTTTTTCTGGGTTGTATTTTTCCTTCTAGTATTTTCTGTAATGCTGGATTTGTGGGTAGGTATTGTTTAAATTTGTTTTTGTCACTGAATATCTTGTTTTCTCCATCTATGATGACTGAGAGTTTTGCTGGATATAGTAGCCTGGGCTTACATCTGTGTTCTCTTAGGGTCTGCATGATATCTGTCCAGGCCCTTCTGGCTTTCATAGTCTCTGTTGAGAAGTCAGGTGTGATCCTGATGGGTTTGCCATTATATGTTACTTGGTGGTTTTCTCTTGTAGCTTTTAGTATTTTTTTCTTTGTTCTCTATACTTACTGTTTTGATTATTATGTGGCAGGAGGATTTTCTTTTCTGGTCTAACTTATTAGGTGTTCTGTAGGCCTCTTGTATTCTTATAGGCCTCTCCTTTAGGTTGGAGACATTTTCTTCTATGATTTTCTTGAAAATATTTTCTGGGCCTTGGAGGAGGGAACATTCTTTTTCCTCTATTCCTATTATTCTTAGGTTTTGTCTTTTCATATTGTCTTGGATTTCTTGGATGGCCTGTGTCAGGGATTTTTTGGATTTAACATTTTCTTCGATGGATACATCGATTTCTTCCATCGTATCTTCCACACCTGAGATTTTTTCTTCCATCTCTTGTAGTCTATTGATTATCTTTACCTCTGTAGTTCTGTTTTCTTCCCTAAGTTCTTCCTTTCCATGATTTCCTCCGTTTATGTTTTCTTTAATTTTTCCAATTCTATCTTCAGATCTTGGGCTGTTTTGTTGATTTCCTTCACCTGTCTGACTGTATTTTCCTTCAACTCAGCTGTTTGTTTGAACATTCCTCTGTTTTCTTTTATTTCTTTCAGTGATTTAATTATTTCCTCTCTACAGGCCACAAACTGTTTGGCTGCATCTTCCTATATATCTTTATGGATGGCCATAATCTGTTTGTCTTTATTTTCCTCCATTTCCTTATAGATGGCCATAATCTGTTTGACTTTATCTTCCTTTAATTTTTTATGCATTTTGTTTGTTTCCTCTATTCTCCTCTTCATAAGCATAGATATAAGGCCATCTTCTTGAATTTCATTTATGCTGGGGTGTCCAGGGTTGCTTACTCCTGGATAACTGGGTTCTGGAAATGCCATATTGCTCTGCCTTTTCTTGGTTGAGCTTTTACGCTAGCCCACCCATTGGGCTATTTTAGGTGTTGGCTGTTAGTTTCTGGTTACTGGAATCCTGGGATGGGGATAATCTGCTTGATAGGAAGATGATTTTTCCTAAAGGAGGCCTTCTCAGCTTTGGGTATGGTCACTGAAAGGCCAGGGTTGCTCAGGAATTGCCACAGCTCACCTCAGGTGTATAGACCTGAGTGGTAACTGTAGTCTTTGTTAGTCAGGGGGCTCTCCTCTCACCCATAGAAGTCCTGGAGACAGACAGCTGCCCTGCTGCTGGGTTTCTTGCTCACTATTTAGTGAGCTGCTGCTGCTGTTGTTCTTACACTGTTTTCCAGGCACCAGCCCTCTTGAAGAACCTGGGAGCCCTGTGGTTTGGTCAGTTTAGTTATGGATAACTGGCTGCTCCTTGGAGCATTATCTGGGGGCTGAACTCGGAGATCCCAGGCTTCTGTAGGTCTGAGGTTGGAGCTCTGTGCCCCAGTACCCAAGCGGTAATCAGTGGCAGGTGAGAGCAGCTCTCATGTGTGCAGCAGGAGGCTAGAGGCTGGAGAACCCAGAAACTTTTCTGGAGCTGGGTGTCCTGAAGTTGGACCAGATGTTTAACACCCACCCTCCCAACAGTGAGACCCTGTCTGTGGTGTTTTGTATCCACAGTTCTGTCTGGAGTGGAGCATAGAGCACGCAGGCAAGCGGTGGCTCTAAGCTGGCAACTGGTTCCTGCAGAAACCCAGGAACTTTTTCCAAGAACTTTTCTGTGTGTGTTGGGAGGGGGTCAGCTGAAAGCTCTAAGCTCGGACCTGCTGATTCCCTAGCTGTGGGGTTTTCTCCAGACAGGGAAACTCAGTCTCTGGTGCCCCTGGAGCCCACAGTTTTGTCTGGGACAGTGAGTCAGGTGCACAGCAGGTCTCTGGGCTGGCCGCTGAGGGCCCCACTCAGGGCTGGTGTCTGTGCGCCTGCCAATCCCTGGGACCTTTTCCAGGGATTGATTGGGTGACCTGAGGTCAGTCCCGATTGATTTCCACACCGTGGAATTTCCTCTCACCTGGGAATCACAATCCCTGGTGTTTTAGGGCCCAGAGTTCAGTCTCCTTGTCGCTGTGCCAACACTGCTGTCCTGCTCTTCAGACACAGTGTCCTCCCAGCACCGCCATCTTGGATTTTCCTACTATGTTTTGAGACTGAGGGACCCCCAATCATGGTCTTCACTGGTTGTGGTTGACCCTTTCTGCTGACCTCCATTTAGGACTTCTTTCTCTTGGGAGAATTTTTTTTCCCTCTATGTGCACAGTTTCTCCCCATCACGCTCACCTACAGAAATCCCAGTGCTAAGTAAACTGTGCCTCCTCAGGCAGCTGTGCCCTTGGTCTCTGGCCAAAGCTGACTAGCTGTTGGATCAGGTAGGACCTTTTGTACTGGGTCAAACCTTGCTCTTGGGATGCCTTGACAGGTCACTGACTCCTACCTGCCCAATGGGAATAGTCCATTCATTTGTTCTAGATTCTCCTCTGGGATGTATTCTGGAGAATTTTAGGTTTCTACACCTAGTGCCCGCTTTAAGGGCCTCTAAGATTATACACTTCTGTAACCAAACTTGGCCTCAATTTCCTTAAATGACAGATCCAAAGCAAAAGCCTTTTAAATTACTGTCGGGAGCCAAAGCTATCTACTGAAGCCAAAGTCAAAGCTATCTACTGAAGCCAAAGTCAAAGCTATCTAGTGGAGCCAAAGCTATCTACTGAAGCCTAAGTCAATTAGTGAGTCAAAGCTATCTAGTGGAGACAAAAGGTGTTTACTAGGCCAAAGCCAAATAGTGAGCAAAGGTAATTTAGTGGAGACTTAAAGCTATTTAGTGAAAGTTATCTAGGACCCTAACTCATGGGTGATAGACTGTGAGGTCATCCATTTGTTAGAGCATCCGTGAGAAAACATCCCTATGGTATCTTGCAGGTACCCTATTTAACACATGAAAGCACTCTTCCTGTCTCCTGCAGCAGCTAATTATCTTCCCCCTTTTCCTGCCTTCTCCCTATATAAGTTGGGTAAAAATTTCCAATAAATGAAGCCTTTATCAGACAAACAGACTTGGCTTCCTTCCTTGTGCTTCTTGTCCCCTCCCATTTTTTCCACTCTCCTCCCTTAGGAACCCACATTGAAGCCCCGAAGGATGGGGCAAATTACTGCCAGTGATTGGGTAAATGGAGGTTCCCTCAGGTAAATGGAGGTTCCTGTGTTCAAGTCTCTTTGATCCAAACTTTCCACCTCTGTTCACTCTCCCAAAAGCTTTAAATGTACACCTAAAGCTTTTTCTCCATATAACCTACTTAACTTTATATTCTTTAACTTTATATTCTGCATATATATATATATATATATATATATATATATATATATATATATAT